GCCTGTCCAGATCCCTCTGTAGAGCCTGCAGGGCACCTCCTATATCATCTGCTGCAGCTTCATCCCTGCCCAGTGACCCAGTGAGGCCCTTCTTCTTCCTCACTGAGTCACTCTGCTGTTCTTGGCCATCCTCCCAGGTCCTCCTGGATGGCCACCCTGTCAATACTTTGATGCAAAGCTCACCCAGTGTCAGGATGCTGTTGGGATCCTTAGGACCACTGGTGGCAGCTCATGCTCTCCTCTCACTAACTCCATTGTCCACTCCCTGTGATGTCACCATGGGGTGTGTCTTGGGGACTTCAGGGTGTGATGGCTACAATATGGCATGGCACTGGAGATACTTCTCTTTCCTTTGTGGTTTCAGACTCCTTTTTCTGAACCCTACATTTCCCACTGACTCTTCCACATCTCTGCTCCAGTCCCTTGGAGGGGGGAGGCTTGGAAAAAGGCTGCCTGCCTCCAGCCCCTTGACCCTTGCAGGCTGAGAAAGTGACTCACCTGGCTATGGTGAGGGTGATGGGTTTGGGAAGACAGATGCCACAGATATCAGGGATGCCAGATGACCTGGCAGCATCAGCACCAAATAGTCTCGGCATTAGTTGGTGATGAGTGTGTTCCAGGTTGCAAGATTCTCCCAGTGTACTTGTCTTGCATTCACATGCCACAGCACTCAAGTTCACGCAGTACCAGTAATGGCAATCAAAATTAACAGGACGAGTCATTGTCCAGTGCTGGCTGTCTCCAGATGCTGATGCTGCATGCTTCAAGACCCATCCAAGCATTGCAATTTCAAGGCAATCTGAGTGCCTATCTTGAGTTTTGAGAGACAGACCCTGTACCAGGACCAACCTGGGAACCGGAGGTGAGAGCACTTAGAAAGTCTGAAGTTAGAGCTGGACAGGTTATTTTCAGGTGTTTTACCTCCACCATTAAAAAAGAGGTCATTTGAAACATTTGGGTGCTGGCATGAGCAAAAAAAAGCAAACAGCCCAGCAGAAAATCAGAGCAGAAGACCTTTCAGCTTTGAGCTGTTGGGGCAAACCCAGGCTCCACCACTACGTACAAAATTGTTCTTTAAAAGACACTCTGACTAGAGTCAAAATTCTCCAGAAGTCTAATGAGCTGCTCCTTTGCCTTACAGAATATTGGCAAAAAGATGTCATGTCAACAGTTCATAGCAAACCTTGATGGGCTGAACGATGGGAAGGACTTTGCAAAGGATTTGCTGAAGGTAACGTGATGTAAATAGACAGTGGGATACTGTCATTATTATTGTAGTGCCGCCTAGTCCTGCTGGGACACTCTGAGCCCTTTAATCAGCATTTTCCAGTGCACAATTGTTTCATTAGGAGAACTGTAACCCACATGGATAGCTTCTGCTAACTTGCAGTCAACCACCAGAAGTCTGTTCCCTGCTGGTGTATTATTCAGGTTTGTGACATATCTGCCCTCAGAGCATACCAGGGGTCCCTCTACCCCATGGTAGCTCTGTGTGACAATGCACAGAAAAAGGTACCCCACACCCCCAAATATGACCATCTGGCACTGATACTTTTCTCTACCTTCACTTCCATGTAATTAGATGCAGTACTCCAACACAACTAGTTCAGTACCATGAGATATTGGTTAAACACCTCATAGTGAGCATTTTCTCCTTCCATGTGGTTTAACACCACCATTGTCTGCACCTGCTGCAGGTCCAGCAACCTGACCTGGATTTTGCTGTATGGAAGGAGGTTGAAATGACCAGTGCCACATCAGGGGTGTCACATTGTGCTTTAGATGACACCCTCGCTTCCCAGCAGACCTCACCCTACCCCACCCCTCAGTATGTTCAGGCCCCCCTCCACGTTCTGCTTTCCTAGCCCATTCCTTCTTCTTTCCCAGTGCCCCAGGGAAGCCACTGGAATTTTGCACAAGAGGAACTGGAAAAGCTGATCCCCAAGGTCATTCATCCCTCCCCTGCTTCTCAGGGCAGTGTTCAAGCCTCCACTGTCCTTTTCCCCTAGTCAAGACACTGGGGGTGTCTTGGCATACCCCAGAGTCTTCCACCATCTTTGTATAGGCCAGGATTCACTCAGGACTAGGCGCAGCACCCAGAATTCGTCAAAAATGTATATACAGGCTCCTGAGCAAGGCTGGCCACCAGACCCCTCTGCTGCTGACATGTCCAGTCCAATACTTAGTGTGGTACATAGACAAAAAAGGGTCTAGCAGGACAGCAGTTGTCCTGCTCATTGGTGAATACTTGTCCAGGACAGTTCAACAAAGAAGGTATCTCTCCAAGAACACAGACAGGGTGTGGAGGAGATGGTCTCCACAACCCAGACATGTCTTCCATGAGAGACACAGCTAATACCATGTTCTTGTTTCAGACACTATATAACTCCATCAAGAATGAGAAGCTGGAGTGGGCCATGTAAGTATGTTAAGCATTTGAGAGATAGTGTGTCTTTCAAAGTAGCTGACAGGTCTTGAGTCATGTTTTTAGCCCCAGAAGCTCCCAGAATATTTCCTGCCAAGCCCTTAAGCACTGAATCCCTCCTGTAGGCAAACTGTGTTTATTTGTGGCTTAGATACAAAAGCAGATGGGGAGGTTGGTGGCAGTCTGTGGACACAGGGTCCACAGGCATGATCTAAAGGATGGGAATGTCCTCTTTGTTTACTATTACATCTCTAAAATGCTGATCCCTCTCTGGGTGCTTCAGAAGTCTTTGCACAAAGAGCTCAAGATCTGGGGTTATTTTGGTCACTGAGACTTTCCATCTCTTTCACATAGTTTCTTCTGGAAATAGTATCAGAGAATCACTCAGGTGGGAAGGGACTTTGCAAGATCTCCAGTCCAGCTTCCTCCTCAAAGTATGGTCAACATTGAATTCAGTTCAGGGTGCTTGGGGCTTTGTTCAGTTTGATCCTGGAAACCTCCAAGGATAGAGAACCCATAGCCCCTCTGGATCCATGAACCAATGTTTAATTATTCTGAGAGTGATGGTTGTTTCTTATCCATTTGAAACCGCTGTTGTTTTGACTTACGCCCACTGTCTCTTGTCCTCCTGCTATGCACCATAGTGAAGAGCCTGGCTTTGTCTCCTCAATAACCTCCTGACACATACTGGAAGGCTACCATGAGGTCCCCCAAAGCCACCTCTTCTCTAGGTTGAACAAGTCCAGTTCCCTTAGTCACTTCTTACATTGCAAGTGCTCCAGCCTCCAGGCATCTTGGTGGCCTCTGTTGAAATGTCTCCACCTTGTTGATGCCCTTTCCCATGTTGGGGGCCCAGTACTGTTTGCTATATCAAGTTATGATGTAATGAGTGTAGAGTAGAGAAGGATGATCACTTCTCTTAGCCTCCTCAGTGTGCTGTTTTTACACAGCCCAGAATGCTCTTGGCCTCTGTTTCTGCCAGGACACGCTGGCTGGCTCCTGTTCATCCTGCTGTTCACCAGGAGCCCAGGGGCCTTTTCTGCAGAGCTGTTCCCCAGCCAGTCAGCCTCGGCCGACCCTTCTGCAGGATCACTCCACCCTAGTGCAGTACCGGGGTGATGCATTTAGTGAGGCTCTTGTTCCTCTGAGCGGTGACCCTGTACCTCTCATTTTTATGTCATCCACAAACTCAATGAGATGCACTCTGTCTCCTCATACAGGTCATCATTTGGTACCGTGAAACAAGTCTGGGAACAGCTAGCTTGGTGGCCTCCATGACAGGTTCATGTGGCATCTTCCTCAGCCCTTCTTCCCCTGCTCTGCTACCCACCCCCTGTCCAGAGCACAGGCCAGGACCCTCAGTGAGGGGTGCACTGTGCTCCCCAGCCTTGACATTACCCTACTACTGCTGTGGGGAAGTCCATGACAGATCTGGTGCCTTAAGCTAACATGGTGGACATTGCCTTCCTCTCCTCTCCTCTCCTCTCCTCTCCTCTCCTCTCCTCTCCTCCTTAACCTCAGACCTCTCTTGTCTCCAGAGGGTCATGGGACTGAACAGGACCTTCTGTGCCATTAGCTCCATCACCTGCTCTTCTCCTTATATTCTCCGGGCCAGAAAAGTGTCTGGAGATGGTTTGATCCACCTCCCTCCCCAACTACCTGAGTTAAGCTCTGCAGAGCAGCAGCCTCCATCACCAGCCATGCCCCAAAGGCAGCAGTGTTTGCTGTGGGCCAGTGTCTCCTTCGGGAAGGACACAGCCAGCCGGTGGCCCTGGAAGGGCAGCGGTTTCTTAGCAGGTTACATAGCATCGATTTCACTTTTAAAATGATCTTGCATGGCACCTGTGTGAAAGGAAAGCAGCAATGCCAGCTCTGTAGCAGAGGCCGGGTTGGTGGGCAGACGTAGTCACGAGAGGGAGCTCTGTAGCTCCGCAGAAGGTGCCCGTGGGATGGTTTATGTAAGAGGAGTTCAACAGAAGTGCATCGTCTGGCTGGATGCAGGCAGTGGTTACACAACACCTGCCAGCACACAATCCCTGACTCGGGCACATCCGAGGGATGTCAGACCCCTGGGGTCTCACTGCAGAGGTGCAGTTCCAGTTAGCAGCATCTAGCCCCTCTCCTGCCATTCCTCCACCCACCCCACTTCTATCCTTGCACCCCCTCATTCACCCCACACTGGCCTGGGACCTTGCTGCAGGGTGTCCTGCCTGGTTGCAGATGGACAGGATGCAACACGAGAGACCTCTCAGCTCCTCTACTGTGGGATGATGTTCCCTGTCATGGGGTACCTGGTTTTATTTCAGAGATGTGGCACTGAGTCGTAACCTTGCACAGAAAAGACCCTCTTCTTCCTGCTTGTCTCTGCCTTCTGTCCTTGTCCGTCCCAGGGAATGAAATGCCCTTGCTCACAAAGCCTGACTGGACAGGCAGGTGTACAACCATCAGCTCAGCAACAAGCAGGAGCTCAAAAGGGGTCCCACTGGTGCAGCTCAGAGAACTGAGCCCCACCAACTCCCCATCCAGGTATAGTGTCTGGGCTCTGCCTAAGCCCCAGGACTCCTGTACCTGCTGAGGACTGAGAAATCATCCTTCTTGTCCAAGAGGCATCTGATGCTTCAGCCTTCTACTTGCTGCAGATCGGGAAGTATGGTATTTTACTGCTCACATCTCAGCTAGTGGATCCATCCCTGGGTCACTCCTCAGCTGAGATTTGGTCCCAATCTAACCTGCAACCTAAGATGACCATTCATACCATTTAGACATTGACATGTATCACACATGGCAGAAATTCCCTGTTTGCTCTCCCTCCTTAATGTCTCCGGGACACTGGGAAATATCACTTCCCATACAAGTTCTAGTTTCTATGCGCCAGAGTAGATTTTACTCCAAATAGGAAGAGGCAGGCTTGGTAGAGTCAGTGAACACTTTCCTAAGCTGCTCAGCCCTTGCTGTCCAGGGTGCAGGACCAGGAGATCTGTGAGGAGAAGCAGTTTTTATGGAAATAACCAGCATTTCTTGCTCTCTGCTGACCCACCCTGGGCACACAAATGGGGAGCTGATGTATAACCTATTCCAGGGTTTGTGGTTTTTTGATCAAGTGGTCCATCTCCCTAATGTCTGCAGAGCTTTTGTTCCTCAGAGATGCAGAGGACATTCATCAAGCTCCTTCAGTATCTAGGAGGCCCCAGGGGCTGCCTCTTGGAGGCTGAGAAACCCCGATGATACCTGGTCTTCAGCTAAAGACCTCCTTAAGCTCTGATTTTAGAGCACAGAATTGGAGACTCTCCCTGTGAAATGCTCGTAGTCCTCAGCAATGGTGTGTCTGCAGTTTCCTGGTGTTCAGACAAGCACCCATTCCCTTACCAGTTTTGAGCAACCTCGCAGTGGGACCACTGGGACAGTTACCTGCCACCCATGCTCCTCCTAGCTATGTCCAGATCACTACCACTGGCACACTCTGCCTGTTATAGTCCCTGCGTCATCTTTAATTTTCCTTCTCTGACTAGTCTCATAATAAATAATTCTCTTTAAAACCAAAGCAGATAAGGCACACTGTGGCCCAACCCACGTGTCCTCCACTCAATCTCTTCTCTGACTTTGTTTCCAAGTGATGAGGACGAGTTGAGGAAGTCACTCTCGGAGCTGGTAGATGACAAATTTGGAGCCAGTGCGAAGAAAGTGACAAGGATTGTTGACAGCAGCAACCCCTTCCTGGACATCCCCCAAGCGCTGAACGCAGTCACCTACAAGCACGGTGTCCTCACGCGTAAAACCCATGCAGACATGGATGGGAAGAGAAGTACGTGTTAACGGGACAGGAGGAGATGTGCCCCAGGCAGTACTAGAGTCTTCTCCCTGGCTCTCCTGCCGAAGGAGATTGATTCCTCACTACATCCCAGGGAACACAAGAGAGATCCCCAGATCCATTAGTGCCAGGGCACAGGGAAAGGAGGGTGTTTTGAGACATTTGTAGACATGAATGTTTTCAGGAGGCCTCAGTCTTCCTTTCTCACTGCCAAGGAACCTAACAGTGCCTGTCCCACACAGATAAACCTGGTTTTCCATCCTGTTCATGGGCATAATCCTGAATCCCACACTGAGTAATGGAGTGAGGCTGGTTCCACAGCAGTTGTCCACCCCAGCCCTGACCTTGGGGACAGTCTGGTCTTCAAAGTTTTGTTCTTGTCCATACTCTGCCATGTGCTGGAAACAGCTGCTGTGTGCTGGCTAGGCAACAGGATGCCACATAGCTCTGCTGTCAGTGTATGGGATTACAGGAAAGGTAAAGGAAAATATATTTGGGAACTGTTAATGCGCAGAGATTGATGAAACCGTGGATAACCTCTTTTGCTAAATGATATGATTGGCCCAGTCACTGCAGCTGATTAAAAATCTTGAGTAGACATTACTACCAAAGGGTTCCCTTGCTTCAAGCACTTTCTGAATAGCCCATGCCCGGAGGATCAGATGTCTTGTGGTGATGTAGGTGACTCCCCTCATCTCCCACCCCTCTCCAGCTTCCAGCAGGCTCTCTGTGCCTAAGTCCATCAAGACAGCTGGTGGTAATGCTCCCTCCTCAGTGGAACAGAAGCTACCTTATCCAGAGTATGTCTGCCTAACTCAGCTGAAGGAGAGGAGCTCAGGGAATGGCTCTGCTCCTCAAGCATTTAGTCCAAGGAACATGAACCTGGGTTTGGAGGAGCAGAGACTTCCTGCACATGTTCATTGGTACCCCTATACCAGCTCATCTCTGGTTTTGACCTGCTTGTATTCCTGTTGGGAGGCTGCATCTCCCAGTCCACGCCTCTCAAACATGTGTCCCTGCAGACAAGCCACTCGTAAGCAATAGCTTGGAGATGCATGAGGTCCAGGCATCAGTGTATGCCTGTGGTGAGTCAGGAGAAGGGTTGGTTTTTCCAGAAATGTGAAGATGAAGCAGCACTGCCAAAAGCAGACATGTATAATTAAATGTTCTTCCTTTTTTAGCTCCCAGAGGAAGAAGAGGTTGGAAGAAGTTTTATGCTGTGCTTAAAGGGACCGTCCTTTATTTACAAAAGGTAACCGTGGTGGACTATCCCATTTGCTGTTTCATGCTGTCTCCAAAGCAGTCGTGCAGTCCTCAGCAGGAGAGGTGAATCCATGTCCTAATGCATGCATGGACATGTACAGAGCTCCTCCAGAGACCAGGATACAGAACTGTAGGACATTGTCATCTTTGGTGGTGATGTTCATGCCAAGGGCATTGTTCACAGCCTCAAAAGAGGGCCATACAGGAAGAAGTATGAAAGAGGGAACATTGAGGCAAGATTTCTGCAGAACTGTCCCAAGTAGGACAAGAAGTAGTAAGAGCAAGTAGGAGCTATTGGGGAGGATGAATGAACAGATGATATGGAATAGGTGAAATAGGATGTTGGTGAGAACATGCAATAGGAAGCTGAAGATGTGGAGCACCAGACCAGTCTTACCCTTCCTATCGTTTTATTTGCCGGCATAGATCTGATTATGAGTAGCTTCACCAAGTCTGGTATGGATCATACTTAAAGTCTATCTTCTCCTTCAGGACTTTGCTAAGATGACTCCTTGCCAAGTGTTATTTTCTGCCTCTCTTCATCTCTGTTCATTCTGTAACTGCCTCTAGTCAGCACAAGTATAAATCCCAGGTCCTCATGGGAGGCAGTCACCATGGAAGAGCTTGCCTGGATGCATAGCATTCAACTCTGCCTTTCAAGACACTTGGATGCTAGGAGGATTTCCATGGATAGTCTTTTCTGTAGGAAAATCCCAGGAGCCTGGATAGGGGCTCACTTGAACATCAGCATGAGCCAGCCAGGGATGCCAAATGTCTGCTCATCATGCAGCAGCATAACCCACTGAACTAGGTCTGAACTACCTTAGTAGCACATGCTGTGCAGTAACCCATTGAACTCACCTTGCTGGAACAGCACTCCCTGTGGGTAGATGTTCCTACGTATTGCAGTATTATCTCCAAAGCAATGAGAGTAAACAAACATTGGATTATATAAGAAATGCAGAAATATCCTCAGGGCAGCACAGAACTATGACTCAGAGCTCGTATCACAACCCGATGATTCTTGTGTTTTGCCAGATTCTATGGCACATGTCACAAAGACAATAGAAATCTGGCAGCAGCCGATCATAATTTACAGTATGGGTTGCTCTTAGCCAAGTGGTATTTTTCAGCCTTGCCACCCTCTCTTGCTGCTGAGGGAAGCTGCAGCATACAGGAGAGCCCAGATCTTCTCCAGCCCTCTAAGTGTGGCGTTCTTCAAGCCAGTGGCACTCTTCTTACATCTCCGTCTCTTGTCTCATTACAAATCTCCACATGAGGTCCAGCGAAGAGGTCCTCATGCTGATCATGGGTGATGCATAAGGATTTAACTTGTACAGACCTACCATCAATATTTAATTTTATGACAATTTTTCTATGGAAAAAAAATGCAATTTCATCAAAATCACAGGGACCATTTGGATCTAAATGAATTTTTCACTAAGGATTTCTAGGGCATGTCTCTCGGGATAAGTCTGTTGCAGGGGTATATATTTGGAATGAAATACACTTTCAGGACAGAATTTTCTTGCCATGCTGGACCAAAATCCAGATTACTGAAGAATTTCTTGACTGCTTGGACAGCACTGGAAGGAGCCGTGAAGCCAACACTGATTGTCATGCTGTTGATGGGGCAGAGGGATTGGGTTTTCTTTGCTGTACAAGGATAGCAGTAGTAACCATCTAGACTGTTATATTAACACAGTTTGTTATGTTAGTCCTAGGTGTTTAGAATTTGAAAAGAGAATGAGGATGAGATTGATGTGGCAGTTAGAAGATCAATGTTCTTATCTGAATGACCTTCAGGAGTAAATTGTTAAGAGACTGAGGGCTTGCTTTATGGACAAGGACTGAAGAAACAAATGACCTAAGATTTGGCTAGGTTATGAAAGTGTCTGATAAATAACAGTCCTGACTGATGTGTAATTAACAGGAGGGTCTGGAATTGACAAGGGTGCCCCAAGGAAGTAGCATTTGGAACAACAACAAAAATTAACCTGAGGAACATTTGGGCAAAGGATTTGGGCAAAGAGGGGTTTCTTAGTCTTGAGCTGCTGCCAGGGTGCATATGGTCCTCTTCAGATGATTCCTTGGTCTGGGTTTGGCTGTAGACAGTGTCTATCAGGCTTGCAGAGACAGGACAGAAGGATGAGGCCACGAAGACGAAGTCCTTGCCCTGCCAGTTCCAGCCATTCCCAGCACCCCAACAGAGAGTGGATAAACATCCACCTGCCCTGTCAATTCTTAGTGCAATTTCTTGCCTAGGGGGTGGTTTGCAGAACAAGAAAGTTGCACAATACAGGAAGGAAATGGTATGCCAGCCTCCCAAGCTCTCAGTGGAAAATGCTTGCAGATAAACATAAGGTAGAACCTGGCTTGAGCACAAATCACTGCGAAAAGATTTTCTGATGTGACAATAGAGGAGAAAGTACCTGCTTTCAGACCCACCTGACACCACAGAGCACAGGTTCAGCCTGTTCCTGTTTTTCACTCAGACCAAACCAAAGATCTAGGCTTTAATAGGAAATTTCCATAAGTTTAATAGGAAACTCTACTCAGTTTGGGTTTGGGGAGCAAGTTGAGTAGAAATAAGAGAGAGAGAGGGCAAGAGGAGGGGAAATAGGGTCTGGGGAGACTGGTGTATAGAAAGGAGGAATGACCGGATACAAAGAGAGGTGGACATAAGACAGGCAGAAGAGTGGGCGGGTTGGTGGACAGGTAGAAGTCAGCCTGTTAGAAGCAATTCAGGCAGCAGCCATAAACCTGCTAATGTAGAGATGTCATATGTCATTGACACGCCAGTGTTAATTGCTGGATTAGCGTGTTCTAGCATAGTCTGCTGAAGCAATTGCTTGATCCCCTAAAGGGATGCAGTACAACCTTGAGGAAGAAATGCAGGCTTAGGAGCAGGGCACACCTCTCCTGCACTCTAATCTGCACTGGGCACTGACTCACTCCTTGGCCTTTGGCAACTTACTTCACCTCTGTGAAATGGGGATAATAACCTTTAATCACCACACATAGAGGAGTGTTGAGAGGAATGATGGAGAGCTATAAAGCATGAGGTGCTTTTATATGGAAGTACTGGAAAGCATTCAGGGCTTCCCATAGGGTCTGCCCTTGCAGCCTCCAACCATGAAAGAGTTCCCAGCGCAGCCCCAAGTCACGGATGCTGTTCCATGCACGCAGACCCTTGCCATGGTAGCACTACTTGGAACCCAAGTTCATGACTAGACTGAAAAGGGCACAGTGGTTAGTTTTCCTCATTAAATGGTTTGTTTAGGCTGGTAGAAAAGGAAAGGAAAAAGAGGAAAACCCACTCACAAGCCAGAGTATGAGAATTCTCTGTAGCTCCATGTCCATATTCACATCACTGCTCAGGGCTGGTGCTGAGTTCCAGAGGACAGGGCAGCAGGACCAATACACTGGGCTCTCTCACCCCATCCAGGTGCTCTACTAAGGCAGGCACAAGAGATAGTTGCTTTTTCTTGACAATACAAGTTTTGAGCTTGGGAGTTTATATTAGCTGTGGATGTCCCACCACTTGCTCACAGGGGTGGGCAGTAGGGGAGACCTGACATCAGAAGAGTGAACCAAAGACACCATGGAGCACTGCTATGCCAGAAGCTAAACCAGGCAAGGGGGTGGTCATGCATGTTTAAACAGAGCGTTTGTGTGAGCAGGAGAGGCACATGAACGGGGAGTCTGTCTACACCATCAACATTAAAAGCTGAAAGTGAATTAAATTAATTTAGAGTGATTCCAAAACAAAGCATCCACACTTGACCTCAATTCCTACAGAAGATATCCCCAAAACAGACCCTGAAAATTGCTGACTCACACGATCCTACACCTGGAGATGCAAGGGAAAAATAAACATGTCACCATTCAAGGGCTGGGGGCTAAGAGTAACTGCAATGGTGTGGCATGGCGTACCTTGCCCATTTCCTAGTGACGAGTACCTGTGTGAACAGTGCAGGACACATAAGACAAAAATTCAACAGCCTTGTGATATCAAATTAACCCATTTGCCAGGAAATGTATGGCAGGATAATGCCATGAAAAAGGTGAAAGTGAGGTTAGTGGTACTATAGCATGGACAAAACATCATCTGAAGTTCCTCCAAATATGATACTGCTTATGTTTTACTATAAATCACTTTCTTTGAGATTTAAACCAGAATCCCTTCACTGAAAGCATTGGTGTTACTATTATATTTTTGGACACGTCTCTTCCTCAGCAGCAGTTTATGCACACACCTAAACTTACATCAAAGCTCAGAAAGAGAGTGAAGCAAAATGTAGAGAAGCTGCTGGAGGCTTTGGAGTGGAGCAGAACTGACATGCTTTGCTAAAGGGCACTTGGATTATTCTCCAGGGGAAGGCTACACATTGTAGCCTACACTAAGGTGTAAGTGCTGGTCACTGTGATGGCTCCAGCCATGTGTGCGTGGCATCATACAGCCTTGGAGCTGCTTGCAGACAAGGCCTGTTTAAGAGCACACAAGGGTCTCCTAGCATCAGCAACTGTACATATCATTGTGTCTACCACAGAACAGGCATTAAGATGATCTTCCTGGCAGAGCTGACCCACGCAGAAGTGAGCCTCCAGCACCATGCACTCCTGCAAATGCATCCTTTTTCCACCAACAAGGAGGCAGAAGGTAGAAAGAACCTGCTTGATTCAACCTTATGCTGATTTACTGGTCCCAGTGTTAGAAAAAGATGGAGATTTGGCTTTTCCTTACACCTACACTGATGCCTATGAGCCTGAAATCAGTAGAAGGAATACTTGATGATACCACTCGAATTGAAGATCTGCCTTAGTCAAACCAGTTTGCAGCTGTGGCAGTTTCGCTTTGTCACATGCCATTAAGCCTAGCTATTTGCACTGTGTTTTCAGAAAGGTTATCTTGAAATAAGAGATCATGGGCATCACAGTCAGATTTACTCAGATCCAAAGATCTTCAGCCTTGGAAAAATGTCCAGAATTGGAAGTCTCTCTACAATATATGAGGTCTGAGTGGCAATGTCTTCCTCAAGCAGCTATTTCTCTCCAAGTGGGGTAACATATTAGGTCCTTATAAGGCAAAGCATTTGTTTTTCTTTGTTAAAAGGCTAATCGCTCATTCCTCTGGCTACTGAGATCCCCACTGTGGAAAGGTCATCTATGCTGCCCCACAATGCAGCCCACCTGAATTTCACCGTGAATGCAGGATGCCTGCAGCACCCACTCCTTCCTCTGCTGGAAAGCCAGGGCTTTTTGAGGTTCACCCTTAAGAAGGCAGTTGTGTGAGCCAGAAGCCCATGCCAGACATTTCTGGGCTCTGGGGCTTATGGCATTTCTTTGCACAAGGCGAAGTATCACGTGCTGACCAATTCACTCTCCTGGATGGGATGGTTGCTTCAGAAAAGGAGGGAAGGAAAGGCTTCAGAAGCTTATTTCCCATCAGGAGCAAGGGTCTGGGTGAGCCACATCCATGGGCTGGGGAGTCCTTGTCCCCAGTGCTCTGAAGAGCAACAGAGGGGAGACTTTTCTGACTCTATACCAGATAACAGTCTTACTGACCAGGGTTAGCAATCAGGAGACTGTAGAATGGCTTTTCCCGAAACAGCTGGATATGTACCACCAGTACACAGGAAAAAAACCATCTTTTTGCAAACCTGCAGAACAGATCAAGCTTTAGCTTGAAAACTAAGGAAGGGCTGGGACACACAGACAACCACCACCATTGGACAGAGCCACCTCTGTGCTGTCAGCCAAGGACAGTCAAGGAAAGCAAAATGTAAGAGTGAATTGGTTCTGTAGGTTTGCACTGTAATCAGCAGGGCAAGGCAGGCCCTTCCAGGGACACCCTCTCCTGACACGGCCTCTAATGTGGTGGTGGTGGCGGGGTGGTGGTTTGTTTTAGCCAGGACTAGGTTTTCCTACATCCACCTATCCATGAATGCATGCATCCATCCATCTGTCCATCCTTCCATCCCACCACCTGGCTGGACCAGCTGTTGAGCCAGCAAGGGTGTAGAGTGGGAAGGAGGGTTATTGCTTTAAGTGTCCGGGAGCTCAGTCACTGGTAAAGCAAAGGGTAAACACAGGATTGATTGAACATTTTTTCCTAAAAACTGCTGTGCCAAGATCATCCTTTCAGAATCCCATGTTCAGTATTTCCCATCTGTTTGTGTAATATATATATATAGTTATTGCTACATTCCCTCCTTGGGTGAATTTGTCCTTCAGTAGAGAAAGTAAAGCAGGAATACAGGGAATGCTGCTGCAATTTGTAAATACCAGTCTAATGAATTACATGAGAGACCATGCCAAATGGGCCATGCTCAGTCTGGCAACTACCCGGCAAGCCCCACACCTGCACAGAGGTGCACTGATTTTTTTCCAGGACTGCCCAAGATGGCGCAAAACCCAAACCCAGACCCTCCACCACAGAAAGCTGCAGCACCAGGGCAGGCGCTCACTGATACCTGCTGACAACCAGGAGTTGCATTGCAGCTCGAGCTCTGCGCTGTGCGTGAAGTTCTGCAGAAACCTGGCCCTGTCTTGTGCCTTCCCCCAAGCCTCAGGCATGTGCTGTGTTAGAGATATCTATTGATAATTATGTTTAAAACTTTCATCTCCTTCTTCACATCTTCCCAGTGAACTTAATGATGGAAGAAGTTGCCAGATGTTAATTATTATCATTATCAGCTCCTAGCATTTACTGTACAAAGCAGTGCTTTTCCTGGTCTTGGGACTCTATGATTATAGCACAGAGAAAAAGGCAGGTTCATTAAAGTAGCCCACAAATGTTAGTGTTGTCATTATCCAATTAACGTTCCTCTTCACAGGATGAATATAAACCTGACAAAGACCTCTCTGAAGTGGATCTGAAAAATGCCATCCGTGTGCACCACGCCTTAGCCACAAAAGCCTCTGACTACAGCAAGAAGTCCAATGTGCTCAAGCTGAAGACAGCTGACTGGAGAGTCTTCCTCTTCCAGGCCCCGTAAGTACCAGCTCTTCCACAGAGCCTGGATGGGCAGCCTGATGTCCAGCCACTGCCAGACTCTCTCCGACCTGGCCAGATCAACACATGCATTAGGGAGCAAACCTCGCAGGAGGAGGGTGCTGAGCAGGAGGGCTGAGGGTGAGGTCTGTAGGGCTGTGCAAAGGACCTGGTCATGGGTTCACAGTTTCTGGCTGTCACTCTTGGTAGCTGTGTGTCAGTCCTGGAGGTCATTTCTCATCTGTCACCAAGGTGGGCCAAGCAGGATGGACTGGGATGTAACGGGCTGAGTAAAGGGCTCCCCTTGCTAACTTCTGTTGTCAGTCTGTGGAAGGGATAAAATCTATATGGTGCATTGACCTAAGGAGCTGATGGTTCCCCTCATCAGCTTTTCATGGGGAAACTGTCTAAAGCTCATTAAAGAAGTGTCCCCAACCAGGCTATATCTTCTTTCTTCCTTAGTCCATTGCAGAGTAAAGTTGCTCTGCTAGTAAGGGTCAAGTGCGATTGAGTCATCTTCTGTCGATGTTTTTCTGCTGAGATAGGTAACATTGTAAATTGGGCTGGGGTACTAATGTCAAGCTAAAGCTTGACATCTGAATTTGTGCTGTGAAAACCCACTTGAAGGCTGAGTGGAGCAGTGTCTGAACAGATCTGATGAGGGACCCTGGGCAGTGTCCCATGAATGACACAAATGAGGGGTCCACACTGCTCCATGGGACCTCTGTTGTGTGGCTCCTCCTCTCTAAAGAGCAGGATATCCTTGGCCCTTGCCACCATGCTACCTCTCACCAGCTCCTCAGGGAAAGCAATCAGAACTGATGAGGAAGGCAGGACTGCCAGGGCTTCAAGAGGCATACAGCAGCCCTGAAATCATTAGGGCACTGTAGAGGAGCCAATTAGCCCGTGTTTTCCTCTGTTCACAATGCAAGATGGCACAGAAATGGCTTCAAAGCAAGGCCACTGATGGCCCTCCTTGATGGCTCCAGGGCTGTTTGTGCTGGCTGGTCCTGGGTCGAGAGCATTTACAGAACCCCCCTTTTTTCTCCTCTCCTCCATAACAGAAGTAAGGAAGAAATGCTCTCCTGGATCCTGCGAATCAACCTTGTTGCTGCCATTTTCTCTGCCCCAGCCTTCCCAGCTGCAATCTGCTCCATGAAGAAGTTCTGCCGCCCGCTCCTGCCTTCGTCCATGACCAAGCTGTGCCAGGTAACGTGTGAGAGAAGGAGCAATGGAGGGGTGCCTGACACTCAGTCAGCCCTTCAGCATACAGCTCAGGCTGAGCCTGTCTGCAGCTCCCCCAGCTCCTGCCTGATAGACACATTCAGGTGCTTAGGGCCGAACAGGGGGATTGGAACGAGCAATTTGGACAGACCATGGCAAATCCCAATGTCTGGCCAATGCTTCCTTTCCAATGGCTATAAAGCAACCCTATGCACACCTGCCTGTATGGCTGTTGGTTCTGGCTTTTTTGTTGCTCTTTGCTCATCACACCCCAACACCTTTCTGTTGCCAGAGTTGAAACAGCTGGTGCTACTGAGCCCAACAGCTGGCTACAGCCCTGGTTTATTTTATAACATGGCACTCAGAGGTGGCACCCTGTTGTTATCTCAAGCCGAAAAGCCACAGATGAAGGGGGAGTCTGAGTCTCACTCAGTGGGGAAGGTTTTCTGGAAGCAAGAGGGCACGGTGCACCAGACCGTGGCTACCTAAGGCTCAGTTAATCAAGAGCAACGGGCAGCTGCCATCCAAAGAGTGGCTTTTGTTTGCACTGCCCAGGGAAATCCCGGCATGCCTTAGTGCCTCCAAAAAGTAGGGACACACTGCTACTGGCGCCCAGCAAAGGGAAGGACAGCCTGAAAAGTTAAGGCAGAGATACATGAACCAGATGTGGCCAGATGTCACCCTTCTCAGAGCCCAGACAAGGAGGGTACTTTCATCTCAAAAGAGAGCAGGATGAGCAGCTGGCTCTGCCTAGCTGTTAAAGGATGCAGAGCATTTTGTGTTTATGATGCTGAAGAAGCCCAGGTGCCAGAGAAATCCACTCTTGGCACTTTGATACATGTTTTGATCTTACTCGAATACCTGTGTTTCAGCTGCTCCTTATCAGATGAATTTGCAAATGTACTGCGCACCTTTGGCTCCAGCACAGTAGCTAAGCTTACATCCTTGCAGAGACAGATCCCACATCAACAGGTAGGCGGTGCACTTGGGTGTTGCACTCCTACATTTTAATACCTGACACGCTTCTCTCTACAGGAGGAACAGCTGAGGTCTCATGAAAATAAAATGAAACAGATTGCAGATGAACTAGCAGAGCATAAATTACATCCTGTAGAGAAGAGCCTCAAGTCAAAAGAGGCTGAGGAATACAGACTCAAAGAACATTACCTAATATTTGAGGTAAAGGAACTTTCATCTTTTCTATGATAAATGATACCTTGGCTGATTGAGGAGAGCTAAGAACTCCGGAGTGGATGCTGTGAGCCTGGGAGAGCAGGAAAGGAGAGAGAAGGACGAGGGCTCACAAGCTGGATGGGTGTCGGGGCAGCAGCAAGCCTCACTGTTTTGCACCGAAGCTAAAAAAAGAAATAACAGCCATTTCCTCTTCTCTGTGATTTGTAACCAGAATCAGGGAAAACTGATGAAAGAAAAAATTTTCCTTTACTGTGCCAAAACTTGACATTTCCTCAGGTCCCAAGTAAGAAAGTGTTTCAGTTCTCAGTGTGCATCAGTTTTTTTCAGCAACATTAATAGAAAGCTAAGGGAATCCCTGGGAGAATCAATCATGTTTTGCTGCAACCGCTTCTGTAAATAAAGCCAAAACCAGCATTACAGACTCTTTGAGGGTGCATATAGCTAAGTTTAAACTCTCTGCGAAGTCTAAGAAGCATTTAATTTTGGGAGAAATAGGATATTTTGTTCCAGTGAGAGCTGAGCAGAAGTTGTGATTCCTGCCACACAGGTGTAGTGGGAAGGGACTGCTGGAGGCCTCTAGTCCTGCTTCCAGCAGGAGCTTGGATTATTTCCAGTATTAGCCCAGGCTGAGTATGTCATTTTGTGGCTGAGTCTCAGAAATCTCCAAGGATGGAAATGTCCCACCTCTCGCATACCAGGGCTGTATCACCTTTTTGTGTAACACCCAGCCTGATTCTCCAAAGCCACAGTTTCTGGCTGCTGGTTCCCTTGTCTTTGTATCAACCCTCAAATAGTTGCTTGCTGCTGCCTCCTGTTTTCCAGATACCTTGTTTTGGGTGCTTGCAGAGAAGTCTTCATCTAGGCATTTTCTCTAGGCTGCCTTTTCAGTCTGCAAGAAGATGGCACTTCCAGAGCACAATTAATCTCATCTGTTGTGTGAGATGTGCTCTAGAAATACTTGTTTCTCTGTGCTGACAAAGAAGCAAGTATAGGCTGCCTCTGAAATATTAGGGGAAAGGACAAGTATTACCCAAGTCTATAAAAAGAGGTCCCATCTAGTCTTGGAATAAAGGTGCTAGGCAGAGAGGAGATGCCTCCCTCTATGCTGTGCCCTGTGAGAAGCAATGGGAGCACAACTCAGCAGTAACAACTGAATCACTGGATGGAAACCATAGCAAGCAGTAGTTGAATCAATTGAGGGGAACTCCTGAATGAGGAAGGAGCAGATCTCTGTTGGTCTGGTTTTGCCTCCAGTATCTGCCTTATACAATTGGAATGGCTGTCAAGACTAGTCAGAGCAACTGGAGAGTCTTGCACAACCCTCCCCTTTCTCCTTAACCCTTTCAGCAATGGGTTGTTCAGTCTTTGCAGGCTTTGCACAGGCCAGGCATTGTGCTGTGGTTAAACAGCACTTGTTGGGTGTCATTAGTAGGATCCTGTTGATACTGAATGGGTTTTCCTGCAGTAGCAGATGACATTGCCTCTGCTTTTCACACATGCCATGCCTTGTCCCTGTTCCCAGGCTCGCTGTTCCCTCTTCCCCTGCAGAAGAGCCGCTATGAGACATACATCAACCTGCTGTGCATGAAGATAAAAGTTGGGACAGATGACCTGGAGAGAATTGAAACCAGTTTCTTCAAGGTGGAAGCTGATGACATTGCTTTGCGGAAGACACATTCAAGCCCTTCCTTGAGCCAAGGCCACATGTCCAGCAGCTGTAAGGTGGAAAAGGACATTTTAGAGCAGAATACTTAACAAGGAACGCATGCACAGGAGGGATGAACCGGTGATGCTTTGTGGTCCTGGACTAGATTGATGAGCACAATTTTACCTAGGAAATTACATGAACAAAACCGTAGACATGTATGACATGGTGATTGCTCTAGTGAAAGAAATCGAAGAAGCTTTAGTTGACACTCTCTGGCAATGCTCTGACATTTCAGCATCATAGACACGCCATCTCTTCTTCACCCTCAACAGCACCAGTGGCTTTTCTTTCCCTCCTACTGCAGCCTTCACAACAAAGTGATATGCTGGTTCTCCAAGGGCCAGGCTGCTCTTCTCTCCACAAGCCCTCTCCCTCCTCCTCCTTCTCTCCCTGGAGTCCCCACTGGTTCATGTCCACAGTTCCTGGCAGTGCAGGAAACTGAGCAGATATGACAGTCTGTGGCACCACCAGCTCTCCCAGAGGAGGGCACAGAGTAGCAGGGAGGATGTCCCTATCCCGAGAGGAGCACCATTCAGCACATCGATAGGACGGCTGTAATGAGCTAGTCACTAACCAAGTGAGAGGTGTTTTCAGCACGGTGTGTGGGAACGTCATCTGCCCATGGCAGGAGAGGCTTGAAGTACCCTCTATCATCTTATCCTTTTTATATACATATATATACATATGAATATATATAAATAAATATATATATAAGGAAACTTTAATGTGGGTTTTTAACCACAGTGTGCAAGTGAAGGCAAGCTACCTGGGGAAGACACTAGGGACTGTAGAGGGTCTGGCCAGGCCACCAGGATGTTTTAAAAAATGCAGTAGCCTATGTATCTTTTTTTTCTCTCCTTTTTTAACTCAAATGGAAATCCCCCTTGGCTTTGCTGTGAAACATCGCTCTCCTGTTCCTGCTTCAGACAAACTGGCCAAGTGGCTGTTTATTTAACATCCATGGAGTCTGCCACTTCAGGTTCGAGGCGCAATTGAAGCCGTACTTCAGATCCAGCTGAACCTTTGTGTGCAGGAGCAATTCCACCTGCCCATCAATGTTGTACTTCCTCCATTTTGCGATGCACATGCTATTTAAGCAGGGAATTCTGTTTCTGTTCCTTTCTGCTGTCTGTGGTACAATGATTTACTGTTGTGCTAGAAGTGATTCCTCTGCATTTCAATGCCATGACTGTCCTCCCACAATTTATTTATTTATTTCACTGTTTGGTTTGGTCCTTTATCTCAGATTGCTTTTCTTTCCCCTAGGTGCATTCACAGTAATCAAGTTCCAGTTTTGAAGGATCTTGTAGCTGCTAATTACAGTCATTTATTGTTTATATTTTTGCAGCATTTTTTTAAACAAACAAAACAAGATTGATTTGGACTTTGAGCATTTGAGAGCCTATGGACTACTGTTTTCCATGATGGTTCATGACACTAAAAACCTCTGCCCAACTTTGTCACCTCTTCTTTTATCTCTGTTTCTTTGTACAGTTTGATAGTTTATTTGAAATGATGCACTAAGAATCATGTAAAAAAGAGTAACAATAAAGCTGAATCTGTTGGTAAAGAGAATTGGTCTGAAGTACACTTCCACCATGTGCTGGATTGGTTCCAGACTTCATGGCACTGAATGGCCAGGTGACACAGATCTCCACCAGTGCTTCCTGCATGAAAGCCAGGTTCCTATGGACAGACAATACTAGAAAATTGCAATACCTTTCCATGAGTGGGCTACCAGCCCACCCATCCTCCTGGGTGCTGAAAGCACTGGCCTGCCTGCGCTTTGGATGAATGGCTTGCCTGTGGAGCAGGTGTGGACAGATATGCTGCTTTGGGAACACATTCAGGTAACTCTTCCCTCCCTCTGGTGCATCCCAAGTCTGTCTGTCCACATGCAGCCTAGAGGTTTATGGGAGAAGAAAGATACTAACATCTGCATTGGTGGTACATTGGAAATATTCTGGGAGATGTTCTCAGAGAAGCCCATGGCTACATCGAGTATCATGGCTGTTTCTCCAAGGAATCATGTGCTTTGCTGAGTCAGGTACTGTACAGACAGCCCTTGCACTGAAGACCTCCAAGATGCTGCTACTGACATGAAACGTCTGGTGCCCAGACTCACACAGTGGAAGCCCAGGGCAAAGCCAGACCCAACACTTGCTCTCCAAAATCCTGGGTAATATTTTGTACCTCATCCTGTCCTTTCTGGCCAGCACCTCCAGCAGGCACTGACATCTCCAGTATGTTTGAGGAAGCCACCGAGAGCAACTTGGTCTCCCATGTGGAAGTTGTGAATCTGCTATCCTCAGCAAGGAGTAAGTTGCAGGGAAAAGCAGGATCCTGCAAAGTCTCCTCTGGACGCCAGGAAAGGGCCTCAAAGCGATAAGACTCACCACCCAATGGATGTGGAAAGGGGCAGCAGCCAGCATTAAAAAGCCCTTGGCAAGACAGCTAAGAGGGTTAAACTTGCACTTATTGACAGTCAGCAGTTTGCCCTGATGCGCAAGTACTGATCCGGGTGCCTATGCATTTGCAGATGTGGTGAGCATCTTACCTACAAGAGGGCACTGAGAACACCCAAAAAGGCCTTGTTTGACCAACCTGCAGCGTCAGCTTGTGACTAGG